GGTTTAGGGTTTAGGGGTTTAGGGTTGTTAGGGCTTCAACAAGAGTTCTACCCAGGTTTTTGTTGTGGAGTTTATAGGGTGTTAAGGGTCCAGAGGACCCAATACTTAAAGGATCATGGGACTTAGTAAGTAGGGTTCTAACTAAGGTAACTATAATTATAACCCCAATTAAGGGACTTATGGCCTTACTCACTAAGTCCCATGATCCTCCAAGTAGTTAGGGGTTCAAGAAGGCTTCGAACGAGGGTTGCGAGTTCGAGGTCGAGGGGTCTAGGAACAGTTCGGAGCAACAGATAGGTAATATTGTTAGGGGTACCCCTTAAAGGGTACCCTTCTGAACCCTATTTTTGGCTTTCTTAAAAGGGCCCTTATTGCGAGGGTCTATATCCCCAAGAGTCCCCCTAATCCTAGCTCAACCCTCTTGTTAGGGTTTAGGGTTTAGGGTTGTGCAGTCCTTGTGGCACTTTAGAATTGCTGCTGTAGTCATGTACGAGTATACAATACACCAGCACCTAAAACCCTAAACCCTAAACCCCTAAACCCTAAACCCTAAACCCTAAACCTTAAACCCTAAACCCTAAATCCCGGCACCTAATCCCCAAGCCAGTTCTAGTTTGTGTTGAGCCCCCGGCTCGGCGTCTAACGCTTGTTGTTGAGGGACTTTCTGCCCCGTGAAAACCCAGGGTTTAGGGTTTAGGGTTTAGGGTTTAGGGTTAAGTGAAAACCCGGCCCCCGGCTTCAAGGTTTTGGGGCTCGGGTTTTTAGCTGTTGAAGTCTTCAGGTTTGGGTTCAAACTTTAGGGTTTTACGGTTTAGGGTTCAGGGTTTAGAGTTTAGGATTTAGGGTTTAGGGTTTAGGACCTGGCCCCTATATTATATGGGGGCCAAGCACCCCCACTAAGTCCAAATCATGTTTGAATCCCAAGCCCTATCAACGAAAGTGACTCGTTGCGTTTGAAGCTCAGGTCGCGACTAGGGTTTCCGCCTTAACCCTAAACCCTAAACCCTAAACCCTAAACCCTAAACCCTAAACCCTAAACCCTAAACCCTAACCCTAAACCCTAAACCCTAAACCCTAGCCTTAGGGTTCCGGCCTTAGGGTTTCGGCCTCAGTCTAGGACATTTTCAGGTGGGTAGTTACCGTTATAGGAGCCCTACAGAAGGTTTAGGGTTTAGGGTTTAGGGTTTAGGGTTTATATACCTTGTAGAAGCCTTACAGAAGCCCTAGAAACCCTAAGCTCCACACCTGTAGTTTTCTAAGCCCAAACCCCAAACCCCTAAACCCTAAACCCTAAACCCTAAACCCTAAACCCTAAACCCTAAACCCTAAACCCTAAACCCTAAACCCTAAACCCTTTCCTTTATTTTAGTTTCGGATTTAGGCTTTCGGCCTTACTGGGCCCAAGAGCTAAAGCGAGAAAGGGTTCCGAAGGTTCCCGACAAGCGAAGGCTTCTGAGGGTTTAGGGTGTTAGGGATTAGGGGGCTTAGGGTTTAGGGTTTAGGGTTTAGGGTGTAACTAGGAGTTTAGGGTTTAGGGTTTAGGGGTTTAGGGTTTAGAGGTGTCGGGTTTATGGGGTGTGGACAGACTTCTTTGCAGCGATGCCTCTCCTGTCGAGTCACAGACGAGGCGTTCGACGTCAAAGCGCTAGCGGAATTTATCATCAACCGCTGCACCTCCAACGGGAATTCTGATTACTTCGGCATTCACGAGGTCCGCAGTGGAACAGTTGTGGCTGTCCACGCCTTCTTTGTGGAGACGAACCTCGAAGGCACCGGCTCAAGCCATGCTGAGCTTCGGGTTCGCCGGGTCGAAGGTCCTCCTGGGACCAACAGGGATTCCGTTTGCGAGGGTGAGGTTGTCCTTTCCAAAATCTGGCAACCTCCCCAGACCCCTTGGCGCCTCAACCCCTAGACCCCACAACCCTAAATCCCTAAACTCTACCGTTTAGGGTATGGGTTTAGGGTTTAGGGTAGCCCCTGTACCCGACAACGCAAAAAGCCCCCTAGGCCCCAAACCCTAAGCCCTAATTACACCCCAAACCCGAAACGCTACATCCTAAACCGCTAAACCCTAAACCCTAAACCCTAAACCCTAAACCCTAAACCGCTAAACCAAACCCCAAACCCCGAACCCCGCGCTGAGGTGCCTGTCTCATCAAAGCGATCTCCTGGCTCTACGGGCCGGATCCGTTTTGGGTTTGGGCGTTTCAGGGTTTAGGGGTTTATTAGGTTTTAGTTACTTGTTTATTAGGTTTTAGTTACTTGGAGGATCATGGGACTTAGTAAGTAAGGTTATAAGTCCCTTAATTGGGGTTGTCAGTAAATATAAGTGCAGTTACCTTGATTATAACCCTACTTACTAAGTCCCATGATCCTTTAAGTAGGGATTCAGAGCTTAGGGTTTCGGGGATTATTAAGGTTAGTTGTGGTTTCAGAGCTTTGGGTTTAGGGTTTATTAGGGGTTAGTTGGGGTTTCAGAGATTGGGGTTTAGGGGTGTCGGGGGTTCCGAGTTTAGAGTGTGTCGGGGTTTCAGGTGTCTCCTGCATCTTAAGGGAAAACAGGAGGGACCCTTAGAAGGGAGCCCTAATCCTAATAGCCTACAGAACCCTTATATACCCCTTGTGTAGTGTCATTAAGCCCCTATATATCCCCAAGGGTCCCTTCAAGGGTCCCTCCTTTAGTCCCTTGAGCAT